TCCACAATTTTTTGGCACAACTGCCATGAAAAGCAGAGGGAATGCTTCTGCATGAATTGAAAAACAACAGCAGCATCCACAGCTGTTCAGCCAGTAAATATGAGGCGTGCAACCCTTCAAAGAGTGAAATAGCATAACCTTGAGATCTGAGACTGAAATATGGAAAACTACCAAATATTGCTGAGGGCTTCACAGAAGGAAAACGGGAGAAGGGAATGCAATTTTTCATAGATATTAAAGAAATGCAAACAAAAGAGATGTGAAAGGTAAAACAAAAGCTAACACAAGAGTAAAGCTGCAGGAACAACTCAAATATATACGGTTTGTCTGCCAGATAGGAACCATTTAGACCAGACTTTTCAATCTTAAGCTCGCAAGCAGATGAAGTAGACTGCAGATCCATGTTGCCTAAGGTGGGAAATGGGCAATATAATTTTCACAGTTCTTTTTTGCCCTATTTTTTCACCAGACCCATCTCAGACAGAGGTCAGGAGTGCTCTCCCAGGGAAAGGACTCTAACGACAGACTGAAGTGTTACAGATACTAGCAGCTGGGATTATAGGAGCCAGTCCATGGCTATCTCACTATCTCTGAACTGTAGCATCAGGAAGAGCAGTGCTTTGACACTCCTTTTACTGAAGAATTACTGACATATGGATCCTCCCATTTTCTTGCAGCACCACATATACACTAGAAATGGGAGGGGAAGTAATGGCAGCACGTTGGTAGATGAGTGGATAAAGACAAGCAGTTCAGCAGAAAACAGGAAAACAGCCACAAGCAGTCACTACTGGCAGAAGAACCTGAGGAAATAGACATGAAATGTGAGTATAGAGCTGGCAGCCCCTTTCATAGACAGGAGTGCCAGGTTGCAGCTACCAGAGATGCCCTGGGCCCAGTGTCATGCCCAGAATCCTGTTTGCCATGGAAGCAGACCGCTCTGCACTTCCCTCCTGCACAGTGGCAAAGCATAAGAGGGACATTTCTCCCTCAGTGATTAGAATCTGGGAAAAATTTGGGTTGTTTTTAAGACGTACTAGAAAAATACAGCTTTTGAAATTCTGTCTTTATTTCTTCATGATTTATTGTTGTCGTGGTTTGACCAGGAAGTGAGTTTCTGGAAAAGTTGTGGTCAAACCAATCACTGGCCAGATTTGAAATTGGCACCTGTTGTGGCCACTGGGGACCTGGATACGCCTCTGAGAACACACAGGGGTTAAAAGCAGAGGATTCCCACAGGGATTTCCTCTTTTGAGTCCAGCGGTGAGTCCAATCTGACCTTCTCCCCTGCCCAGCTGCGTCTGGGTGGGGCGGGCCATGAGGCCTGTGGGAAGGGAGGCTGGAGCCCTGCAAGGAGCAGGGGTGGAAGAGACCTGGGATGTCTGAGCAGCCCCCCCTGGGAGAGAGTGATAGAGACTGTGCTGGCTTCAACTTTGATATCTTGTGCCGGCACCATGGCCAGAAGAAGAAGGGGCGGGGGGAAGGGGGGGCAAGGTGCCCAGCCGCTGGCAGACTGCGGCTGAGGTTTTAACCCCGTTGGTGCTGAGACAATGGAAACTGTAAAAAACACTGATCCTCCTCAGCTGAGAGTTTAGAGGGGACGGAGGATGGGCAGATGAGAAGAAGGCTTGAGTGAGTGAGTGAAGAAATACCAGCAGATGAGAAGTGCCCTAGATGGAGGAGATGATTGGAGTGGCCTTTTGGCTGGACTTCTCTCTTACATGGCCACGGGATGGAACCAAATCTTCCTGTAATGCAGAGACTGCACCTTGGGGGAGGCAGCTGGCCAGAAGCCAGAAGTGACAAAGCTGCTGTGAGAAGCAGAGGGAACAGAGACTGATGGGGAGGGTGTGGTGGAGCCCTCTTCCTTCAGCGGAGAAGGATCTCTGTTCATGAGGCCCCTTGGCCCCACGGGGTGAAATATGGGGGGGACAGGTGTCCCAAATGGTGAGAGGCTCCCACTTCTTGGAACTGGGTGAGGCATTCTTAAAAGGACCTGAGAAACAGTTTGGTCCATGGACAGTGGTGAGAGCACTGGACATGGAAGGAAGATAGTCACCACAGCAGATGCTCTTTGGGCAGCTGCCAGGTGTAACATGGAAGCACAGGAAATTCCAACTGTGTTTTCCTGGGGAGGCCCATGGTGCAAGAGGGAGACTGATGAACTGGGGGGACATTGTGTGAAGGATGGTATTGGATTGAGAATTCAGTATTAGAGGGGATGAGGTGTTAGAGGGGTGGAGGGAGGAGGAGTGTTTTGGACGTATTCCATTGTGGATTGTTGTGTGTGTTTGTTTTCCTTTCCCTTTTGTCTCTTATGTTGTAGATTATTAAAGTGTGGTGTTTTTCCCTCCATTCCCAAGTTGGAGCCTGCTTTGTTCTGTTTCCGGGTCACATCTCACAGTAACCATTTTGGAAATATACCTTTCATGGGGGCCCTGGCATTGTGCCAGGGTCAAACCATGACAATTGTTCAATTAGTAACCTTCAGACTTGAACAGTAAAAACTTCAGAGCATAGTTTCTGGATGTGCTTGGCCTCAGCACTGGTTTGTTGTAAAGAAAGAAAGAAGAGCTTGTGTTGGAAAGGAGTGCAATGTCTGGCAGGGAGCCTGCATGGGAATCTCCACAGTGTCACCTTGAAACATTTCTTGTTCCTTAACAGTAGCTAAGTGATCACTGGTTGTATGTAAACAAGGAATCTAACACAAATTGAGAGGAACCAGACAGAGCATGTGCAGCTGTTTGTGCCGTTACTTATGAATATGAATGAGTGCTCCACTTCTTTATGATACTGCAGAAGTAACAGTCTGCTCCTGTCCTCCACTCTGTGTGACAGCAGACAAATCTAAGTAACTTTCATAAATGGCCTGGAAATAAAATGCCCACCAAGAAATGAGAGTGCATTTAAGGCCATTCACACTGACATTTAGCACAGGAAGGCATAAAAAACTATTATGTTTTTATTTCCCCTTCTACCGCCTAGGGACCAAAGACAGTACCAGAAGGATGTCAAAACTTTAAAAATTCTTTAATTAAGCAGAAGCCCCCATGAAATCCACTACCTTGTATTAAAAGTGCTGACATTTCCTTACTTTTATTCCTGTTTTGAAGGATAGAAATAGTCTTGTTCTATTAATCTGAGAAATTATTTAAGCTCTGAGTTGTACTCTAACCAATATAAATAGAATAAAGCTGACACAGAGAAAGGGGCTAATCAAGAATAAAACTGGAGGAGAAGCACTTCAGAGCAGATATTTCAGAAAGATGACACCACCAGAAAATTTCTGCATGTTGTCAGACTCTGTTGATCTCTTCCTGGCTTTCAATGACCTGAAAACACTGCTTTCCAGATTTCTGATGTTTGTGCAATGTCTGGATGAACATGAATGGACACATAAACAGACTAATTTCGTTAGTGTCCACGTGGTATCACCTTGCCATACAAAAAAAGGGAAGACATAGCATTAGGCAGGAGTGGCAGTGCATCTTCCACCCCTCAAGTGGCCATGCTCATTCTCTCGCATCAGCCAGTGGGAAGCAGTCATCTTCTCACCGTGAAGGACCAGTAAAACAGGCAAATTTAAGCCCTCTGCATCTCCCAAGTACTCTGTTTTCAGTCCATCACGCTTTAGACTGACTGCAGTTAATCCCATTCATGAACAGAGATGAGGTTCTGATCATAAAAACATGGGCTAACTTCACTAAAATCTTTGCATATCAGGAAGAGGTCCTGAAAAAACCTGCACTGGCTAACAAAACAATTTCACTTAAAAATGTTTCATTTTCAGATGCAACCTTCTCTGAGACTCTCTCTTTACAGTTTGGGATCTTCTGAACATCTCAGGGCCTATCTGATGGAGAGCCAATTGCACAAGAGAGCAGGAGTGAAGGTACAGTAGCTGACATGCTGTTACTTCTCAGCCAGAAGCACGGAGTTATCTTACTTGAGTAGTTCTCAGGTAACTACAGAAATACTGCTTTATTTAGAGACATTGTGCAGCCAAAAGAAAACTGACTCCATCAGGAGCAACTACTGGAGCCCAGCCCAGTGCCCTGGGCCCGTTACCTAGGCTGGGGAACATGGTTATTTCTTTCTCATTTTCAGGTTCCGCCAGTATCACATGGGAGCATGTACCCCAGAGTCACACCCACAGACACAGAGGATGGCAGTCACGCACACTCGTACTGACAAGGTGCCCTACAGCACCCGCACACGGGACTCACACAGGCAGAAGCACAGACAGACTAGCCCCCTCCTCCTTGTGGGCTTCTCCCACAGGCACCCCAAAATCATAGGTCTTCCCACACAGAGGCCCGGACCTGAGGCCCCTCTACTTTCCAGCTGTTTCGGATTGAAGATTGTCGATTAATGACACCACACAGACACACCCCCACACACGTGCACACTCATTCATGCTCCTGGGGAAGGTACAAATGCTCACTGCCAGCAGCTGGCAGTAGGTACACGTGTTGTGACCTGTAGTCCCACTCGAGTCACTGGTACTCAACCCTTTAGGTACAGTGGTCTCCCAGTAGCTGGTTTTCAGGACAAATGAGTCTCCCTGGATCTGGTTGAGAATGGAGGGCAATGGCATGCTATCTTGATCCTCCTGTGGTTCTTCTTGCCCACAGATGGGATAGGGTGTGGGGAGTAGGCTGTCAGGACCCACACTGAGGACAGCAGCTGTGATGATGGGGAGCTCAATTCTGCTGTACCCAGCAGGGCTGCTGGAGAGGGCTGGGCTGGGAGCAGAAGTACTCCCTTGGGAATCTGCAGATTTTCTTTACCTTTACTTGATCTATACAGTGTCGTTGCCTTCCAAACACCCATCATTTATTAGCAGCTTCTTTAAACAAGTGCTCTCCTTTTTGCTACTTCTTATTTTTGCCATTTCTTATTTTTGCCATATTTCATGTGTCTGTTTTCATGGCAGGTCACGACTGGCTATCAGCCTGCACAGATATGTTAGCATGTCACATATACAGAACTTACAGCACCTTATACTCTTGTCCCTGGTCCATGATCTTCATCAGAATAATGTTGCAGCACAGCAGAGCCATCCTGTGTAGAGTTCTGTAGATGTGACTATATCTTCTGCAGGGCTTTAAAGAGCCTGTTCACTGGGGAGAGAATGAGGGAAGGAAGGAGAAAAAGGAGTTCAAAGACACAAAATTCTGTAGTGCCTAGGCTATAGTAATTCAGTGGAAACCCCACCTAAGAAGAAAGGCAGAAATATTTAAAGAACAGTCAACCCAGAAATGCTTGGATTTTGAAACTAATTTTGGTTGTAGTAAAGAACAGAGGTAAAATTAAAATATTAAAAGTTTCCAAAAGCTGGAAATGGCATTTGAAGGTCCGCATACTTAGAGATGGATGCAGTTCTGTGTAAACAAGGCTTCTGTGCTCTTGTGTATGTGCATGTTACATTTCCAGCGTGCCTGTCCATCCTCCTTTTCACTTACCTGATTCCAGCTGCTGCAGTGAGCCCCTGGTGACCCAGCCATTCCCACCTTTCCAATACCTGCTGCAAGGTGCTAACAGTGTGGGCAGTGTACCACAGACAGACCAGATGAGTGAGCCAAGGGTGTGTGGGGAGCCTGTGGAGGCAAAGGCCTCAACACAGGTTGCTGTTCCCCTGTCCCCATGCAGGACACCCCACATTCTCACCCTGCCTTCAGGAGCACCCAGATATTTCTAAGAGGTGTTTAAGAAAATTAGCTTTTTCTTCTGGCTGTTTACTTGTACTTTCAGCTTGGAAAGCAGGCATGCTGGTTAACATGGAGTTGAGAGCTGAACCTGCCTCCAGGCTCTCTAGAACTTCACACCCAGTGCTGTCAAAGCCAGGATATTTCCAGCACAAAGAAACTGTGTATTGCAAAGAAACCAAGTATTGCTGCTCATTCTCTCTCCTCCACGTGTGACCCTCTTTGAGAACATTGCCATTGCTACTAAATTAGAGTGTAATCTTTGCAAGCAATGTGCAAGACCTGTGAACTGAGACCTCTCAGGTTTGCCCTCACTGAACTTTCCTTGACTTGTCTGTAGCTTCATGTTGCTTCTTTTGGCTGTGGCAGCAATTCCTCTGGCTGATCAGGTGCCTGTGCCTGCTCTCTTTTACTTTTGCTTCTCCTGGTGTGGTACGACCATGGTTTTGCATAGACAGCAATGACAAGCTGCTACTCCACGTGCAATGAGATTTATACAGCAGCAACTTGATGACAAAGTGCTGACAAACCCAGGCCTGGCAGGACAGCGGAGGCCTTGGGAAGGACACAGGATGTGGCACAGAGGAGCACAGCTGCAAACACATTGCCCATGGTCAGCTCAAATGTGAACCTGGAGCTGGACAAACTGGCTTCAGGGGTCATGGATACAACAGAGAGAGAACATCTACTGAGATGGCCCAGGATGTATTTAATTTGGATGTAACTTGGAGCTGCAGACGAGTGTAGGAAGAGAGCAGTATCTCATCAACCTACACAAATTATCCCAAGTGATCCTAGAGGGACAAAGAAGAATTCATAACATGAACATTCTTCCTGGCAAAGGACTCTGGGTGCTGAAAGCTCTCAATAATATTCCCCTGTGATGTCCACCAATATGGAATTCCTGGAATACAAGGGACCAGTAGAAGGGTGAGCACAGAATCAAGGAAAGGATTTAAATGGAACAGACCCCATGTGTGTGTCTGTCTCTGTGTGTCTGTGACAATTTCAGAGTAGTACTCCAGCTACATTGCTATTTCTTCATTTTTGCAACAATTAGACATTAAATAAAACTGAATAGTCACTCAATATTTTAATGATGCTAACAATAAAATTCTTGCTTCTTCCTTTATATGGTTCCTTCTTGACCATAAACAATATTTTTAGTGTAACAATGGGCAACAGGAAATTCCAGAGGTTTTTTTTCCACATCCATGCACAATGAATTACAAGAAGCTGTGTGTTCCATCACAGCAACTATAGGAAGAAATACAGAAGGTTTATTTTTTGTGCCTTACTACTGTCACTGCTATTAATGCATTCTTTGCCCCTGAAGAGCAAAATACATCCAGATGATTCTGATACCTATTTTAAGTTTTTCTTCTGCATGATTTTTGAAAACCACAAAAAGCTGGGAGACAGAGCAGGTTGGGAGGGTTGGTTGTAATACCAGGGAAGTAAGTGCTTAGTTTTCTTCATGACAATTGGGGGTTTTTTTAGTTTGTTAATGATTAGCAGTGTATGCATTACAAAATCTGTCCATAGGATTTCAGAACCTTGTTGAGTGACAGTGGATATTCCCAGAGTGTAAACACCAGCTAAAAATGCATTTTAGTGTGAGAGTCAAGCCACAAGAATGACTTCAAGCTTCTTTTCCCTCCAATCTTCCACTTCTCTGAACTGCTCATAGCCCTGCAGTGAACTTAAGCTCTGCACAGTGCAATCTGCTTCCCCAGATGTGTCACTAAATAGATAGCAGACCCTGTCAGAGAGAGTCCTCTGTGAAATGTGCTGTCAGGGAAAGTTTTCCAAAAGCCCTGAGAATAAAAATGTCCCTTCTCAATGTGACTTTAAAAATGTTGACAGATGGCTGAGTTTTCCATCTTCCTTCCCTCCCTCCCACGTTTAGTTCAGAAGAGTACTGCCTACATGAATCCAAAGCACACTGTGAAATGTTCTTCAACTTGCCATTTGTATTTCTGCCAGGAGGAAGCCAAAAACAGTGGAACCAGAATGCCAAAGGACTTCCTACCAACTGTGTGAGCCTCTCTCAACCTAGTGCAGCTATTTACATATCCCCAGTCTTTCCTCACTATCCATCAGGGTTTAGAAGGTTTGCACCATGCCTCCAGGAAACTTCCAAGCAAAGCATAAGATTGAAGTAAGCTTAATAGTTGCTCTTACAGAGGAAGGAAGAGTTTGTCTTTTCCTAGATCTAACTCTGATAGATCTTCCCCATAAGAAAATTAATTGTCTCTGGGAAAGAATCAGTAAGGTAATAAGCTCACATCCTCAGTGGTAGGTAATCAGCCCAGGGTGCAGAAGTGATGTAAGGAGAAGGAGAAGAGTGACAACTTACTACATGGTTATTAATTGCAGAAATTCCACCTTCTCCCAAAGGACACCAAATATCAGGATCTCTGTAAGGGATAGCACACACAAAGCTGATAATAACACAACTGCCAAAAACCAAAAAAAGATAATTTCACCTCAAGCCCACAGCTTAGACACTTTTGTTTTGCCTGGCTCTTTGCTCTGCACTGCTAGCCTTCTGACTGTCAGCAGAGAATATAAGACATTTTTGGACTTGGTCAAAAGTGTGATAAGAATAAATTTACATAAGGACCACACTGTTTATTGGCTGATGGAATTACCCTTCCCTTTTGCTAGATAGTCACATAACAAAGCAATGCTCAGACAGCACGGTTAAAGTACAACAAAAGAGAATAAAAGGAGGCAATGGAATTATTTTCAAAGTGGTACTGATAATTTTTAGAATATAACCAAAATTTCCCCCTGGGGTTTTCAATATCATGGGATAAAAACACACTTTGGCACCAATTTGTCCATTTAGTTCTTCCTTCAAGAAAACACAGAAAAATGCTGACATGCCTTTGTTCATGAATCCCTCAGTAAATCTCCATGGATTACACTAATATCAAGTCCCACTAGGCCATTTGTTGTGTGCACTGCTCTTACATAACTTTGGTGTCACATCTTATAACATCAGAGCATCTCATGCTGCAGCATGAGGCAGTGTTATGGCAGTGGTGGTGTTGTTGATAATAAATCGAGCTGCTATCTGGGAAGCAATGATAGCAGGCAGGCCACTGCTGCAGACAAATCTGACAAACACGTCATTTTGTCTGGGTAATGGCACAGACTTCCCATGTAGCACAAATTATCTATGGAAGAGACTGCTATGGCGTAAAATCACTCTGCCCCTCATTCCTCATTTCCACATCTGTCTGATGCTACCTTCCTTCTGCCAATATGTGTGTGTGTGTATATACATGTGTATATATATATATATACACATATATATTATATTTAAATATGTATATGTATGTGCTCTTTCTATAGATCTAGTAGATCGTGGTATGAATTCTGTAAGAATATCCAGTCTCTGCACAGTTCTGTGAGATTCACAAGGGTCTAAAAGAGGATTTATCACAGCTAAAATCTAGGCAAACAGAGGGTACTCTGGGTCATGAGAATTTAAAAAAAAAAGGAAACAGCCATTCCAGCAGCCCATCCTGGTCTTCACATCAAATGGCTGGACAGTGCCACCTTTTTTCAGAATTGACAGCATCCTAGCAGTCCTACAATCAGGCAAACAAGCAAATGTGATGGGTCATGTTTGAAAGTAAATATTCCCAGGGATATGTATTTGGCTGTCTCTAGGTACCTTAAGCACCAGACAAATTCCATAAATGTTGTTATATCAACAATTTCTGCAATGTTCAGGCAGTTCTTTCTCCCTCTCTTTATATACGTGTATGTGTGTGCATGAAGGGTATTATGTCAGCTATCCCATCTCTAGTTTGTTGTTTACTTTGCATTTAAATGTAGACATGCTTAAGTTTAAACTTTTTCTGATTTTAGTTTTGCTGTGCAGAAACTCACTCAAGGTCCTTTGGAAGTGCTGCTGCAGCACAGTAAGGTGGACACTGTGGAAGTGATAAATAGCAAAGCACTGGAGAAGCAATAGGAGCCCAAGAACTGCCTGCAGCAGACATCATTCCTTACCTGACCACAGAACTCATATCACTCATGAGATTTGTTTGCCTGAAGTAACCATGCACAGACTCTTTCCTCTCATCCCACTCCAAAACCTGTTGTTTACAAACATAAGTAAAAAACCATTCTGTGGTGACTATCCATATTCTTACAGACAGCACTACCAATGGGGTAAGCTATGCCCATGTGCCCCTAAGGCTGTGAGATGAGGGAAAACAGTGTCAGGCTGGCTGCCCAGCACAGGCCCCATGTGATAATTCCAGTTTTTTGGAATCATGAATAGGTTTCTTTACTCCAACCTGCAGAGAAGCACAAGGCAACCCACAACTGGGAAAGTAATGGTAGGGTCCAGCTCTCCAAGTACAGTGCGCATGCCAAA